TCTGTTCTGTAATTGAGTACCATTTTCCACAAATTCACCTATTATGTAGAGAATTAGTGGTAGAATCTTCAGGATTTCACTTTCTTTACATGAATGTGTCACATATTTCTGTTTAACTACTTATTATCATCATCTAGATTCTTGGTGACACATTGCCTTGTCATTCAAACTATGAATTCAGCTGAAGGAGATTGAAGGATTAACTGATTTCCGCTCTTTTTTCACCTTTGTTTCCCACTTGATGGTTTCACTTCTGATAATGATTTATACTGGGATCACAATCTCAGCCAAAGAAACTTATATCATGAGTGTACAGTCTTATCTTACTTGGATCAAGGGTCACATATAGGAGAGAGAACAGGAAAATGGATGTGATCAAAGCACAAACAGAATAAAATCCACATATTTTCTAAACACCATCCATTTATTTTCATAAGTTGATCCCTTAGTGAAGAAGGCACAGAGCTACATAAACAGTCCATAATTATATTAATTTAAATAATATATATTTTAAAATAACTGTTCATGATATCCATCAAATGAAATTACTGCATAAAAGCAAATAAGACCACACCACAAAGACATTTAAAACATCCCATTAGACTTCAATCCAATTGTCCTTGAGCGGATGTCCCAGGAAACAACATGGGTTGTTTCAGAGTTCTCCTTCTGGAAGTAGAGAAAAAGCTTTGAGTTCGGAGCAGGTCAATCTAACGTTGGATTTTCCCTCCCAGTACCTATGGATACTGCTCTGTTTTTTCCCCTTTTGACATTAAAACTCGAACATGGAGAGATAAGAAAGAGAGAACTGAGAACAAGGTGTGGGGAGATCATGGCACGCAGGATTTGTTCATTTTCCATGCCTACAGCAGAGGAAAAATATCAAACCAACGTGAGTGCTGATCCAAATTCTCTTCCATTTCTTGAAAAAAAAAAATGCAGCCAAGAGGATAGGCACAACTTTCTATGTCAAATTGTTCTAATGTAATAGGATGGTTCTGTTTGCATTTTCCAACACCTAATAGTGCCTCTAACATTAGATATTCTATAAAACAGAAAATAAATACTGACCTTTAAAATAACATCTAAAATGTATTTCAGTAATTAACAGAGGACACTCACTGGTGCACTCAGTCACTGCTGTTTCTGCTTTCCTCCAAGATGTAGGAATAAAGTAAATTAATCCATCTGCTGTTCAAATACTATTTTCTCTACATAATGGGAAAGAAAAGAAAGAGGACCTTTCAAACAGGTAGCTTAAATAATGTTAATAACATCTAAACAATTCTAGGAATCCAATGGGGATGGCAAGAGGAAGCAGTAAAGGTGGAGAAAGACTTGAATCTAGGGGCCTGTTCCTATTGATAGGGAAGAAGGTAGGGTAGCACATGAAGCATGGCAGTGAAACAATAAGGCATTGGAAGGCATTGGAACTAAAGCCTTCCCCACTCTGATACTGAAATGCCATCCTTTACCTGCTCCAGAGGGGATTTTATGATGGAGGAGCAAGTTGTGGGGTGAACCTTTCAGCAGCAGCTGGAAGAAGACTTCCAGAAGAGAATGTCTCTTTCCAAAGGCCAACCTTCATTTCTGCCTGCAGAAAGGAAAATCTGCCAAAACCTGTGCCTCTTGGGAACAATCAAAGTAGGCTGTGTGGTCTTTTAGGTGTTATTCAGAGTTCTTTCAGAGTCCTCCAATTAACATGAAAACAGTCCCATAGCACATGTAAAAAATATGTGTTCTCCAAATTATATTTGAAAAATGGTAATTGTATGTCAATCAGAATTTCATCAGAAGTAAGCCCTGTGGTGTCTTCCTTAATTTATGGGGACTTAATGACTATTTAACTAAATGTATGGTTGTTGTAAATGCTTAGAGTGGAGAAAAAGGCTCTTTAATCAGATATGTTTTGATTGCTATTCTTTCAAAATCCAGACTTGACAGAACTAAGTAGAAATCCAGAAAGAGAAGTGAAGTTTTATAACTTCTGTGCTCCTGGGACCACCTCAACCTCTTTGAAGCAAAAGCAATTACAGAAACATTTCCCCTTCTCATTCTTTTTTTCCAGAGGGAGGGGAAACCTAGAGCTTGTCCCTTTATGCACACCAAAAGGCAGTGGAACATTCACAGGAATGTAGTAAGTGGAGGAGTGAACTTCTGGTGACATAAAATGCATTCTATAGCATTTGCGAGCCTATTGGGGGTCTAAGTGCAGAAGTAAAACTGGGACCCAAGAAATAGTCTTGTGTTACTTCTGTTCAGCCAACCAATTTGTTATCAAATTAGCTTTACAACAAACAAACAAACAAACAGGTTAGCATATTCTACTCAACTGGCATCCTCGTGTTTCAAATTATCTATTTAAGTGCATGCTTAGATCAAACTGAGAAATGTATTAAGAGTCTACTTCAAGGTTTAGAAGGGCTTTGGCCATACATTAACTGATATGATCCACCTGCAGCTCTGACGTCAAGTAAAATTTGAACTCTGTCCTCAACCTAATGAT